TCGGGGTTGACCCAAATTCCTATATATTTGCACTGATACTACTTACACTGGCATAAACTAGGCTTAGGCTAGGCCTACAGGCTTACGCAGCTAAGTCTGAGTTGAGGGGGCCTAGGCCTACAGTTGGCAGCTTCTCTAAGCATTCTGATCCCACTCTAGGCCCTGCACAAATTTGTTTTTATCGGATATTTTTACCTTCTTAAATACCTAGATCGTGGATTTTATTCCAACACAACTTCCATAGATACTTGTTTATTATATATATTGTTCATTCAGTAAAACAATCAAGCACTATGTTGAATTTTAAAGCTGAAAACGATGTTTGAAAGAGAAGTAAAATTTGTCGCATACACATGTGTGAAGCAGGTACAATTCGATTTTTTTTTTTTTTAAATCTTTCGCTTCAATTTTTATGACGTCATCACCTTTATATTACGTTCGTAAAATCGGGAATTCGTAAATGAGGGGTACTGTATATATATATCACAACAAACAATAAAAAAAACGTATCTCAAACTCGGTCAACTTCGTAACATCTGCGTTGTTTCTGTAAAAAAAGAAAAGATTTCAAGTGAAGAATGATCATGTGTGTATTATTTGTTTATTTCTTTAATTGTGTTTCCCTCAATTCTCTTGGTATGTTTTATCCAAACTCTGGAAGCTGCAAGAAAAATAAATAAATTTATTGTATAGAAACATCGGATTAAATAATGTAATGATTTTTTTATTTATTTATTCAACTTTCTTTTATGAGGGTAGCTCTTACAGCGATGCTGACTCAAAGAGGCACTCATAACAAATACAAAACATACAGTATAACAAAACAGATACAGTAATACATGTAAAATATATAAAGCACAATTATAAAATAGGTTTTTGTTAAAATTTTTTTTTGATGATTATTGTTTTAACTAAAATATGAAATAGATTTCAGGTGGTAACAACATTCAATTCATTCAATTAAAATCAAAGATACATTTTATTGACCATAATTATTAAATTATAGTATATGAAAACGCAACAAAATCAATCATAAGATCATGTTTCAATCGTGTTAAAATATGAATATAAATATGTTAGTAGAAAGATAGCAAAACGGAAATTTAAAAAAAAATACTTACAGTAGGCCTATGATAAACCGATTGACGAACTAATTATAATTATATAGGGCCTAGGCATATTAAATTTTGCGTTTTCGCAACTCCTTCGACGCTCCATATATTTTTTAGAAATGAACCACGACCGAAACGAAGCGCGACCGAAACGAAGCGTGACCGAAATGATCGGCTACCAGTACAATGGCCTATACCAGCGTATATAGGGCAATATAAGTCAACCTGTACCCATGTTAACCCTTACTAAGCCCTTACCCACAACCCGTACCCAAAATTTGGCGCACCAGTACGCTGAATTTTGGCTTACCCATACCCAACTTTGACATTTGGCTAACCCGTCGCCTTTTCCAAGAATCGGTAGACATCTTGAAGTGATGACAAACAACCCAAGTCAGTGGTGCGTAACCAACAGAAATATGCACTTATCAATTGCAGTCCCAAGCCATAGCGGGGCACTAGCCGGGACTAAGCCGGGGATGTACACATAGTTGTATCCCCGTAGTGCCGGGACGTACCTAAAATTTACCCGTAGATGTTACAGGCCTCGAAAGGCCCGGGAATTTTACACATTAGAGTAACAGTGGCTTGGGGTGTGTAATGCGGTAAGTGGCAGGGACTTAGCCGTGGATGTACGTTAAAACGATGTTCCGCATTGCCGGGAGATGGCCGGGACTTCCCCGGCTAAGTCCCCGCTAGGCCCGGGTCCAGGGAGGCCGGGACTACAATTGACAAGTGCATGCTTTAAGGCTGAATTCTTGTGTTGTCGGTAATTGATTTATATTTGAGACAACATTGGTCTCAGATTTATATACACACACACACACAAATGAAATGTTTCTTTTTTATTTATGGTAATTTTAGTATTGTAAATAATTCATTCTCACTTTTCGTTAGACTGAATATGATGGATGAATAAATCCTTACTACAACATGCAACGTTTATTTCATATAGGATCATTTTTGGTTTCAAATTCATGTCCGACCACAGGAATGTCTAAATTCAGTTAAAAGAGAACTACCTGTAGCAAAATGATTTTTTGTTCTAGAGGTGAATTTTGATAAGCCATAATTTCTTATGGAGTTATAGGTCATTATATACGATTTAATCGTGACGTCACTGGCGAAAAAAGTAACAAAAGATCGTGTAAATAAAACCGCGTAGGCTATCCGCCATGTACGATCTTTGCGTGCATGCTGTAACCATAGGTGTAACTCTTCTGTTGACAACCGCTGATGCAGTTATAGGCCTATATGCAAGTTACAACAACCATGGTTACAACATGCACGTAAAGATCGTACGCAGCAACTACCCTACGCGGCCTATTTACACGATTTTTTTATTACTTTTTCGCCAGTGACGTCACGGTAAAATCGTATATAGTGGCCTATAACTTCATAAACAATTGCCAAAAAACGATTTTAATGTTGATTCTATTATTAATGGCATATCAAAAATCTCCTAAAACAAAAAATCATTTTGCTAGTGTTCTCTTTTAAACCAGCAATTTCATATTAGATTTATCATCTTCATAACATGTAAAAATCAGATTTTTCTTAACAACTGAAATTTTGCCTGAAATGGGACTTTAAATTCACTTTAAACAAAATACAATTTTATACAAAAAGTCATACATTGAAAATTAACAATAATAATAATAATAATAAAGAATTGTCATAAAATAAATATTGCAAAAACTGCAAAACTCGCTTATTTAATTTATCAAATTTTACAAGGTACAACGATATAACAAACAGTTAAATTGTTTATTCTGTCAGCAATCCCTTCAAGAGAAAAACATACACAAATAAAGATTATAATTTTATGTTACTTCAAAACTTCAAAAAATTGTATGATTATTTTTTTGTCCTTTTTCAGGTGACAATACATATTTAAACCTTAAATTTGCTAATAAAAAATATAAATAGTCAAAAAGACTGAATCAACCAGTGAAAACTTATTGCTTTGAATTGTTTTGATTAATTTTTTCTATTTATTTATTTTTTTTTTTCAGATTTCACCATAGCTCATAGACAATATATTTATTTACAAAAAGTGAAATCAATTTTGTTCTTTAATTATTGGTGGCTGACAGTATGTTAGTACCAACACATGACATCTACTATACTTACAGAGTACTGTACTTATATTGATAGTACTAAAGATGGTCAGCTGTGTGATAGGCCTAACTTTAGTGGAAGAATACCTTTTTTCCAGGATCCCTATTGACTATTTCCCCCAGTGGCCTCATCATACTGTGAAGTCACACCAAGATACAGGAAGTTAATAAAAGTCTAAATTTGGTGCAAAACATGTGCATTGTACTGGTTTGCACTTGAACATAATCTTATTAGGATTGTAACTTTTTCCAACCAGGAAGTACAGTATTGTAAACTATATATTTTTTTAATTGCGGTGTCACCAGGATGTTAATGCTGCTTCTGACGTGTGTCTGGTCAGGATGGCACAGTATAAAAAATAGAACATTCATGGTCTGGTAATCCAATATTATGTCAAAAAGAGGCTGGACCAAAATAGTTTAATATAAAGTTTTATTTGATGATGATGAAAACAATTATTGTTTTCATTTGGAAACAGTAGATATTTTTATGTTTAAATTTGTACATCTGTGTAATGGGAACTACAGTAGTATGTAAGTGATTTTTGCACAAAAAAAAAACAGTGTATAGTATATTTAAAGTATAGGCCTACTGTATACAGTATACTGAACATCCATAAAAAATACAAATCATAGCCTACGTAATTACAGCAATGCAGATATTATTCACTGTATGTTCGAGTGAATAGGGAATTCAAAGTTTATAAGGAAGTATATAAAAAATACAAAGCTGCCACTAAGAAAGGGTTTTTTAGCAGATCAATCAATGTTGCTCACTTCTAGTAGAAACAGATCAGCCATAAATATTTTAGCATTTATATTGTAACATGGATCTGTGGAGCGGGTGGGGTGGGGGGGAGCTTTGCCAAGGGCCCTAACCACCTAATTATGCTAATAGCGAAATGGACTCTGTGAGAGTCCATTATAAATTAAATTTTGCATTTGTATTATTTCAGAATTACATGATACTTTACATATATTAATACCGAAGAGAGCATCTGAGGATCTATTATTATGGGGTGTTTGACGTGTAGTGCAATATTTGTTACCATAGCAGCTATGACTCATTTTGAAGCATGTGTTGGAGAGAATATGAAAAGAACTTTGCTGGGTAGTAAGTATCTATTTATTTTCTACAGTAAATCATGTGATTAACTCGTATGAATATTTACTGTACTTAACTTCCAATGCCGCTAATGATGGTTTGTGATCTGATTATCATTTTTGCAGCCCATTTTCTAATGAATAAATGTTTTAAAATCCAAGTTTTTAATCCAAGGTGTCCACATTCCTAAAATTTTTATGATCCTGAGTCGCTTTCATGTCAAAATCATTGAATTATAAGAATACCAAGGGCAGATCCAGAATTTTTCAAAAGGGAAGGGCATAAAAGTTTCGGAATAGAAACCTCCATGCCCCGCTACTGGATTCGCCCCAGAATACTAGAACTCCAGTGTATTCGATGTTCGAAATATGCAAAGCTGTGTGCGTGTACTATTACAAGATTGTCTCTTATACACATCTAGATGTGTATAAGAGACAGGTACACCACTTTTTCATCTGTAGGAAAGAAATTTTACAACAAAATTTAATGTTTGTGAGCCATTCAATGATCTTGAATGTTCTAAGCAAAATAAAAAGGTATGAAGCTTATTTATTTTCTTTAAAACTTAATTAGGCAGAATATAGAAAGATTTTATTATATTTTGTGCATGTTTGTTTTATTATTTTATCCTGGGGGACTGCTCAGTAATACAATTCCTGGTCGCCTACAAATTCAATTATACCACAGCCACGCTTAGCATCATAAGAACAGTTATTCAAAGCTAAGTTATTTCACTTACAACTTGGATGAGGCGAGACTTTTTTATAACTTGTTTAGCAAACCCGCTGCCTGCCAATAATGAAAATAAATTTTTGGCCAATTTGGCCAATGGATATTTCAGAAAAAAATGAAAGGTCTTTTTATTTTTTTATGCCCACCACTACCTTGGTATCTCCAAAAATTAAGATATGTATATTTCTTCCTAATTACTTAAATGTTAAGTATTTAACCATCCCATTACTACGCTATTTACATTCACTGCATAAAATTTATTTTAGTTTTTCTTTTCCGTCTGGATGTTTTTGGCAAAACTCTTTGCTAAATGAAAACCAAAATTTTATTATAAATTTGTGAAACAACATCGTATGAAAAAAAAAGCCTTGCTTAATGCAATATACCTGTAATATTTAATAAAGTCAATAAATGATAAAGAGTATAAAGCAAGGCAGGATTTCTGAGCAGGCATATTCCCACATAAACAACTTTCCTCTGACAGATATTATGCAATTAAGAATTTCTTGCATTAAAGCAGTTTTACTTACTGTTTTTTTGCTGTGTTGACAGTTTGGCCTGGCTATCAGTTATGCTTCGTCAGAATTTGTGGTGTTTGTTTCCATAGACACAAGAAATTATTTATTGAATCAACTATCAGAAACCTGATGAAACTATTTACCCATTGTTATTATAATTGATTACAACAATATTGTATAATAGTATGATAAACTGTGCTTTTCTATTTATCACTAGGATGCTTGTTTCAACTACATCAGAGTTTTTAAAGTGATGAACGATAATAAAATATTTGTTTGTGGAAGTAACGCGCTCTATCCTCGCTGTTACTACCTCAACTATAATATATCAGATAACAATGAGGTTTGTTGATGAAAATTTGTATAATTCATGTTCCTAATAAGTTTTTTCAGATGTTGGAATTTTGTCTTAATAAATTGTGCTCATCAATGTAATTTAATGATTGTGTCATTGAATAGCAAATACAGTATATGCTGCAAGTCATAAGCAAGGTATTCATAATATAGGTCTTAGAGCAAATACTGAATCAAGTGGCATGCAGGCTCTTGGGAAAAATATTTTTTCCACAATTAAAGAAATGGGTTATTTCTCATAAATCCTGCCATTAGATATTGTTGCTAAGACCCCATAAAAAGGCAGTGTAAATGACGTAGACATGTGCCTTTTATACATGTTCCACCATAATGGAATATTTTACTTTATTAGAAACTGACTAATGTTCTTTTAATAGGTGTTTAATTTAATCCAATGACAGGGATTAATAATTTGAAATTCTTAGATGCTAGTCTTGATTTTAATTGACATAATATTAATGAGATATTATTAAGAGAGATTGAATTATATTTCCCTTTGTTAGTGGGTTATTACTGGGATGGAAGATACATTCGAATGTAACAGATGGGATAAGGCATACCATAGTGGTGTTGATTTCACTCCTTTCACTTGGAATAGTGAAATGGTTCATGAATTCTCTGGTGAGTTATTGTTGTTATCTAAAAACCGAAAGGTCCACTGATTAATCTCAGTTTAATTAAATACATACTCCATGTATCGAAATGCAATGGCGTGCATTTCAATACTTGGAGTATGTATTATACTTTCTTATTGTTGTTAGTTTTCAAAATTTTCTATTTCATTGTGTGTACTGTAAATGTTCAAATAAGGGCATCTCTTGAATAAGCATCACTTTTTGGTTCCTATTAACAATAGGAACCTTTCCATTTGACTTCGTGTCATATGATACCTTCATGGTGGTGTGCGTGTGTGTGTTATGCTATGTATCAAAAGTTTGTAAACAGGCAAACATGGGTTTCCAGAAATCTGTTCGTTAAGATTTTTTTTACCCAAGCTAAACTGGATATGATGTAGTGCACTATATATTGGTTTTCTGTTTTGACAATTATTAAAGCCATAACTAAGGACAGAAAATGCCACCTACTCCTTTAAAACTACAAACCGTATATGGTAAGGCAATGGAATGTCGATGAATTTTTGGTGTCGCCTAACTTTCTAAAATGTGATGTATGCGAATCTAGGGACTACCATGGACAGATTTTATCTCTGGAAGCCTAGTAGTACGGACAAAAAACATGACCTACTTTCTGAAAACTTCAAGTAGATAAAGTATTTGTCATAAAAAAACTGTTTTTGGAAGTCTCATGTTATTGTTCAATGGCTGATTTGGTTGACAGTTTTTTAAGAAATGAACGGTATCGCGTGTAATTTGTTGTTTACACCAGGGAGATCTAAAAATAGCATCTCCTTGTTTACACACAGTTTTTGCAGAGCAATATAAACCTAAATCCACCGTTTGTGTGTCGTTTAAAATGACACAAACCATGCACAAACCAAGAACACGAACATACTATATTTGTACTTTAACAACTTGCATTGAGATTATTAAATTAGAATATTTTACTTTCTGTATTATTTTTTTTATTTCTGCATCGCAAAATATTTATCAAAATATTCAATTCAATAAAAAAAATACAATTAATTCATTTTAATTTGTGATGAATGGAAGTAAACTGCTTTAAATAGGCAACGTAATAACAAGTTGCCAGTACTACAAGTTGCCTAGTAATAGTGAATCTCTGAAAAATTTTCTCATAAGTAGGTTGTTCCCACGATGTTAGACAAGCCCTGCATACTGATCACTACTGATGGTGCTGCTACTGTCTCTTATACACATCTAGATGTGTATAAGAGACAGTCGCCGAGTTGAGCACTTAGTGCAAATTTTTGACTCTCCGCCACATTTCGAGTACTTTTCCGAAAAACTTCAAACTTTCAATGGAATAGTGTTTGTTTCAGAATATCTCACCG